TAGAGGTGTCGAAAAGTTACCACAGTGGATAACCGGCTTATGGCAACCAAGCGTTCATAGCGACGTTGCTTTTTGATCCTTCGATGTCGCGCTCTTCCTATCATTGTGAAGCGAATTCACCAAGTGTTGGATTGTTCACCCACCAATAGGGAACGTGAGCCGGGTTTAGACCGTCGTGAGACAAAGTTAAAGGGTCTCGTGGGGTGGCAAGCCAAAGGAAGTTCTAGAAGGAGCAGTTATCAAGGGGCGCTTATCAAGAGGCAAGCTTATCGACAGCATTACTTACCTCTAGCCAATCTATCCGCATTTATAGGGATAAGTTAGATAGCAGCTCCTATGTAACTTTCAATAATCCTTTGTTATAAAAAGGAGAGGGGGATGTGCTTTGCACACACAGAGATAGATAGAGAAGCACCGAAATCAAAGTGTATTTCCTTTGTTACCTGGTTAATAAAAGGTTAGGAGTTTTCCCGTAATATTGTGTGCAAACTTTGATTTATTCTTATCTATTAGTAGCAGTGTTGCCTATTATTTACAGTGACTTCGAGGAAAGCCTCTGGGTGTGTGAAACACCATAGTTAGTAGGCCAAACACGAGAGTAAATTGGGAGGAAAAAGGCTAAAGTCTGTGGGAACTAGTGTCGCAGCACTAGGTTAAAATTATGACGCAAATTTGAGCCTCGTGACAAGTGGTATCAAAGCGAAAGTTCTGTTCTATTGGTCGGGAGTTCGAGGTCTAATGCCGTCCGGGATGGAGATTATACGAGAAAGACTCACTCATCTTGAAGAAGTCTTAGGTCCCGTGGTCGAAAACGAAGAGGGTTCCATGAACGAAAGGCTTAAACGTGCCGAGGAAATGGCGAAAGTGGCCGCCGGCGATCAATGGGTTGCAAAGTGCAAGCTCTCGAGGAAGAGATTGCGGTACCGAAAAGGGCAAGATAGCAGCTATCCCTACAGTGGGGGCACGTCCAAGCCAAAGGTACTAGATCCAAAGCCATTCGGGGCGTAAGGAGTTCCAAGGAATTGGAAAAATTTCGTGGGATATGGAACAAGACTTCAGTGGAGGCCAAGATTAGGGACGATGAACAGTGTGAACATCACCGCAATGTATTTGACGGTGGTGCAAAACCGTGGTGGAGGACCGGAATTAAGGAAGACTTAAATGTTGGGCGACCTAAGATTGATACTTGGGTGCGTCTCAAGCAAGAGTTAAAGGAACAATTCCTACCGAACAACACTTCCCGGCTTGCGAGGGAGGATTTGAAAAGGTTGAGGTAGGATAAATCGGTGAGGGAATATGTGAAGGAATTCGGCTTCTCTCATTCTGGATATTGAAAACATGTCCGAGGAGGATAAATTGTTCAACTTTCATCGAACTTGCAACCCCAGGCACAAACAGAGCCGAGGCAACATGAAGGTGACCGATTTGTCTTCAACAATCTCTACCGCGGATGGGTTGGTAGATTTTAAGACTAGGGCGAAAGATGGGTCTCGTTGCAAGCAGTTCCCTCGAAATCCAAGGCAAAGGGTAAGAGGGAATTTCCACTGAGGAAGAAATTTGGTGAGGGTGGATTCAAGCCTCGCCTATGATAAAGGTAAGGGCAAGTAGGTTGATGCGTCAACGAAAGAATCTAGGCCGAATACAAAGTCGTTTCATATGTGGGGGATCTCATTATGCCCGAGAATGTTCGAAAAGAGAGAAGTTGAATGCCATTCTAGTGAATGACAAGTGAGCAAGAGGAAATAGTTACACACGTTAACCCAATGCGTGTGTTGAATTGTCCGATTATGGAAGAAGATTCAATGGACGAATTCAACCTTGTCAAGACCGACTTGGTGCGGCCGGATGCCTTACGACAAGGGAAGTTGGGTGCTCTAAACACATTGATGTATGTGAAAATCGAGTGAATGATCGAGAGATCATAGCCATGTTGGATTCTCGGTGCTACGAACACTTTTGTTATCGATAGATTGATGATGCAGTTGGTTCGCGGGTGAGCAATGTACCACACAACAATGAAGGCAATGAATGCTAAGGCACAACGGATCAAAGGAACTACGTACAAGGTGCCTATCAGTGCCGGATAAATGGCAGTGCGTACAAGACTTGCCGGTGGTGGCTCTTGACGACTTTGACGTTATACTTGTCCTAGACTCCTCGAAGAAGGCCAAGATAGGGTCGATGCCGTATCTAGGGGGAATTCGATTGCCCACGATACATGCCCCGATTTTGTGTTGTGTGAGAAAACTTTGGTGGCCGAAAATAGCAAGGGTAGCGGTAGCATCATTTCGGCCATCGCAATTAATAAGGCCTTGAAGAAGGGTGGTGAAGTGGTTTTGCAGTAGCAATGGGGGAAGATTCGAGACCGATGGAGCGAGTGTCGGATGTCATTGCTAGTTTGTTGGAGGAATACTTGGATGTAATGCCTCTCGAGTTGCCGAAAAGCTTCCACCGAGAAGGGCCATTGACCACATAATAGAACTTGTGCCTAGTGCGACAAAGACCGTCGTAGCCTCCTTATCGAATGTCTCCAAGGGATTTGGGGGAATCGAGAAGACAAGTTGGAAGAGTTAATAGGCGTCGGGTTTATCTCGGCCATCTAAAGCTCCTTATGGTGCGCCCTGTTTTGTTCCAAAAGAAGGTAGATGGAAGTCTTCGGATGTGTGTGGATTATCATGCACTAAACAAGGTGACGATAAAGAACAAATATCCAGCACAGCCGGTGCGGGACTTGATAGACGAGTTGTGTGGAGCCGCTCGTCTTCACGAAGCTAGATTTGAGGTTCTGGTTATTGGCAAGTGAGGATTGCCGAGGGGGATGAGCACAAGACGACTTGTGTGACGAGGTATGGTTCATACGAGTTTCTAGTTATGCCATTTGGCCTAACCAATGCTCCAGCTATATTTTGTAACTTGATAAATGATGTTCTATATGAGTTTCTAGATAATTGTGTCGTGGTCTATTTGGATGATATTGTGGTTTACGGTAGGAACTTGAATGGCCATGTAAGTGCATTTGCTCTGGATGTTTTAAAGAAACTTAGGGAACATCGCCTAGTTGTAAAGAGGGAAAAGTGTGAATTTACACGTGCTGAGATTATGTTCCTAGGTCACTTGGTCGACGAGGGTCAAGTGAGGATGGATCCAAGGAAGGTACAAGCTATCCTAGAGTGGGAAGCCCCTACATCGGTGTCCGGGTTGCGATCCTTTTTAGGGTTGGCAAACTACTATCGTCGATTTATTGAGGGATATAACAAAGTGGCAGCTCCTTTGTCCGATTTGTTAAAGAAGGACGTAAGGTGGAATTGGGCGACGAGTGCCAACGAGCATTCGACAACCGAAGAGAGCCGTTACTTCGACTCCAAGTGTTGAGACTCGCTCGACTTCGAGAGGCCTTTCGAAGTGCATACCGATGCTTCGGATAGGGCCATTGGAGGGGTGTTGGTATAGGAGGGTCATCCAGATTGCATTTGAAAGTTGGAAGCTCAATGAGGCGAACGAAATATTCAACACATGAAAAGGAAATGACAGCGTAGTCCATTACTCGGGTGTGTGGCGAGTGTATCCGTCGGGGCCGAGATTCATAGTGAAGACGAGATAATGTGGCCAACACTTTCTTTAAGACACGAAGAAGCTATCTCGCAGGCAAGCTCGATGGCAAGAGTTTCTAGCCGAGTATGACTTTGTGTGGGAGCACAAGCCGAGACGACATAATCAAGTTGCCGATGCACTAAGCTGGTATGAGGTGCTTGCTACCTTTTTTCCCTTGTACAGTGTGGAGTCGACATGGTTGAACGACTTCACTCGGCCGCCAAGGAGGATGAATCGTACAAGAAGTTAGCCGGTCTTGTACGAGAAGGGATAGTGTAGAGATATTGGCTGGACAATGATCTCCTATATGCAAAAGGAGGTTGAATCTTTGTGCCAAAGCGGAAGCCGCGAAAATTCTTGATGTCGGAGATACATGATCCGCAGTGGGTCGGACATCCCGGAAAGGAGAGGATGCTAGCTTTGTTGTCCTGGACTTATTATTGGCCAAAGATGGATAAGGACGTGGAGCTATTTGTGAAGACTTGTCTAGTGTGTCGACAAGACAAGACTTCACGACAACGTGAGGCGGGTTGCTTCAACCATCGTCGATTCCGAAAAACCTTAGAGTGTCGGCTTCGATGGATTTTATCATGGGTTTTCCAAAGGTAGACAACATGAATCCGAGAATGGTGGTCGTGGATAGATTCACCAAATATGCGGTATTTGTTGCCGCTCCCTCGCCTTGTACGGCGGATGTGGTCGCCGGGATGTTCTACCAAAATATGGTGAAGTACTTTGGGGTGCCTTCGTACATCATCAACGATCGTGATGCACGTTTCACGGGTCGATTCTCGGACAAACTTGTTTAACATGATGGGGACGCAATGAAGTTCTCTATCGCCAATCATCCACAAATCGATGGGCGTACGAAGAGGATTAATGCTTTGTTGGAGGAGTACCTGCGACATTATGTGACAAGCAACACAACAAAATTGGCTAGAGTTGCTCGGATAGTGCTTAGTTTTGCTACAACCTCCACAAGTCATCTCGCGACGGAGACAAGTCCGTTTGAGTCGGGGCTAGGGATACGACCCCAAACTCCCCTAGAGATCTCGATACAAAAATCGGTGGGAAAAGTCCAAGCAAGATACCAATTTGAGTTGGAGAGGCAGGAGTTGTTGGCTCAAGCCCAAGATAGCAAGCGGAAGGCCAGCAAGCGAGTGAAGAAGTATGCCGACTTGAAAAGGAGACCCTTAGAGTTTGATGTGGGCGACAAGGTGTTGCTCAAATTGACACCTCAAATTTGGAAGAAAATCACTCGGTGCATTGGTGCAACAGGGGATTATTCCAAAATATGAGGGACCTTTCAAAATTAGAGAAAAGGTGGGAGTCGTGACTTATAGAGCCGGTTTTGCTCGAACACTCGAAGCTCCACCCTACATTTCATGTGAGCTATTTGAAGCCTTACTATGAAGATCGGGAGGACTCGTAAAGAAACAAGTCAAAAAGAGCTCCCCGATGGTTCGAAAGCGGTTCGACGATGGGATTGTCAAGATTCGGATCATCGTCGATTTGGTCAGCACAAGAAGAATCGACGAATAGAGTTTTTAGTAAAATGGGCTAAGAATGGAGAGCTTTCATGGGAGAAGGACACCGACTTATGGCAATTTGAAGAGAAGGTGCGAGTAGTACCTCACTTCAATTTCGACGAGGGCATCGGACCTTTCCGGTGGGGGTGGTTTGTCACGGTCCTAGGCGCGGGGTTACGCCAAGGATAGGCACGAGTGTTGCGCCGAGGATGAGGCGCGAGTGTTACGTGCACCAAGGATAGGCGCAAGTGTTGCGTGCGCCGAGGATAGGCGCAGGGTTGCGCCAAGGATGCAAACAGCGGGTTCATGTTCTAAGCACGACTCCGCACTTGGATAGAGGGCTATCCAAGTTACATGGGAATACAGACAGGCCGAGAGAGGGCTCGACCGAGTGCCTAAAGGGTCCGTGGGGTGGCGAGCCAAAGGAAGTTCTAGAAGGAGCAGCTTATCAAGGGGCGCTTATCAAGAGGCGCGTTATCGGCAGCTTACTTGCCTCTAGCCAATTTGTCCGGATTTATAGGGATAAGTTAGATAGCAGCTCCTATGTAACTTCCAATGATCCTTTGTTATAAAAAGGAGAGGGGGATGTGCTGTGCACACGAGAGAGATAGATAGAGAGGCACCGAAATCAAAGTGTATTTCCTTTGTTACCGAGTTAATAAAAGGTTGGGAGTTTTCCTGTAATATTGTGTGTAAACTTTGATTTATTCTTGTCTATTGTAGCGTGTTGCCCGTTATTTGTAGGACTTCGTGGAAAGCCTCTTAGGTGTGTGAAACACCATAGTCGATAGGCCAAACACGAGAGTAAATTGGGAGGAAAAAGGCTGAAGTCTAGGGGAACTAGGATGTCGTACCGGGTTAAAATTGTGACGCAAATTTGACCCCGTGACACCTACCATGGTGGTGACGGGTGACGGAGAATTAGGGTTAGATTCCGGAGAGGGAGCTCGAGAAATGGCTACCACATCCAAGGAAGGCAGCAGGCACGCAAATTACCCAATCCCGACACGGGGAGGTAGTGATAATAAATAACAATACCGAGCTCTTCGAGTCCGGTCATTGGAATGAGTACAATCTAAATCCCTTAACCGGTAATGGCAAGTCTAGTGCCGATAGCCGCGGTAATTCCAGCTCCAATAGCATATATTTAAGTTGTTACAGTTAAAAAGCTCATAGTTGGACTTTGGGTTGGGTCGGTCGGTCCGCCTCGGGTGTGCACCGGTCGCCTCATCCCTTCTACCGTGATGTGCTCCCGGCCTTAATCGGTCGGGTCGTGCCTCCGTGCTCGTTACTTTAAAGAAATTAGAGTGCTCAAAGTAAGCCTCACCGTTACGCTCCGCCTAAAAGAGAGATTTTTCTAGAGATTCTAAAGAACACTAGATAAGTCTAGAAGCTTCTAGAAGAGTATGGAACAATGAAGAAGCCTCTAGATAAGTCCGGAAGCTTCTAGAAGAGTATGGAGCAAAGGAGAAGCCTCTAGATAAAGCCGAAAGCTTCTAGAAGAATATGGAGCATTGGAGAAGTCTCTAAGATGATCTAGAGAATTCTAGAGAGTCCCTCACTAATCTAGCATGTGTATATTTAGATAGTTCCTTGTAAATATCTAGATAGGATATTTCTAGAGAACCAATTGTAACCATTAGATTAAATAGATCCTAGCCATCCATTGAGGAGGTGGAAGGCTATAAATAGGTGAGGCCCTCACTTGGCCAAGACACCTAGACATTCATAAACTTAAGGAGTGTGTCTTTAGAGTTGTAAGCTTTTAGAAAGCAATACAAAGAGTATTTTATATCTCTTGTGTGTGTCTTTCTTACTTAGCAACTTTGTGTGAGGAAGGCCGGCTTAGTTTGTCTTAGAGAAGAAGAGAGCCAAGTGCCGCACGTGAGCTTGGGAAAGGCCAAGTCCGTGACAAGTGGTATCAAAGCCGAGTTTTATCAAAGTGTGAGTAAGCTTACCGTTAGCTAAAGTGTTCAAGAGAGTAAGGATGTCTAGCTTGGGCATGGAGGATGTTGCTGGGGATGTTAGGAATAAGACCCTACCTCCTCAACCTAAGAAAGGAAGGGGGAAGTCTCGTGATGTATTAGTCTCCTTGGAGGAGCGACTCATGAGGGCGGAGGAACACCTCGTCGATTTCAAGAAGAGACTCGAGGAGATAGAAGGAGATGATAAGGGGGAGACATTAGGCATGGTAGGCCTACGTGAGGTGCTCTCCAATCTCCAAGCTCGAGTGGAAACGGTTGAGAGGTGTGCCAAAGAGAGCGCCGCCGAAAAGGATGCCTTCATGGAATGGACGAAGGAGAGGTTCAAGCAACATCAAGAGTATATGACCGAGTATGAGCAAACTCTTGAACAACTTAGAAAAGATTGGAAAAATTATCGAGAAGCTATCTCGAATGGTTTGGTCTTAAAGGACACGCCAAAAGTTGAAGTGCCAAGACCAAGGCACTATATCGGCAAGCGAGATGCCAAGGAAGTGGATAACTTCTTTTGGCAAGCAGAGCAATATTTCGAGGCAATGGGCTTGACCGAGGATAGAAGTCGTGTCAAGACCGCTACCCTCTATCTTTCGGAGGATGCCGCTTTATGGTGGCGTATGAAGCACCAAGAGCTCAAAGAGGGGAATCTAGAGCTGCCTAGTTGGGATGAATTCAAAGAAGCCATGTATGCTCAATTCTACCCCAAGGAAGTTGATTGGGAAGTACGGGACAAGCTACGAACATTGAAGCATACGGAACTATTCACGAGTATGTTCGAGAATATCTTTCTCTTAAACTTCGTGTACGTGGCAAACCCGACTATTATCATATGTATGATTTTATTAAGGGACTTCAATCATGGGCACAACAAGAGGTGCGAGGTCGACGGCCTAAGACCTTCACCGAAGTCGGGCCATAGCTGAATCCCTAATTGAATATAACAAAAGGACGTAACCCTTCAAGCCTAAGAAAGACTTCAAGTGGTAAAGGTGGGGAGCCTATGAAAGGAAGCGGGTATAGAGATGGGCAAGACAAAGCACATAAGTCCAAGAGCTTTGTCAAAGAACATGATAAGAGAGAATTCAAGCCCAAAGGTTGCTACTTTTGCAATGGGTCACATCGGTGGAGAGAGTGCCCGAAGCCGACAAGCCCTCAATGCCTTGGTGGAGGAGAGGGAATGTGCCTCCGAGCCCGAGAAGCATATGGGATCGTTGCGGCTTCTCAATACCTTGAATGTCAAGCCCTCACCTAAGGTGCCACCAAAGGATGGGCTTATGTACGTGGAGGTGGACGTGAATGGCAAGGCCGCGCTTGCCATGCTGGACACTCGGAGCCACACATAATTTTATGGCCGAGGAGGAGGCCAAAAGACTTGGCTTGGTGGTGACCAAGTCATCAAGTAGCATGAAGACCGTGAATGCTTCTCCTAAGCCTACTTATGGCATAGCGTATGGGGTAAAGCTTGGCATAGGCGCATGGAAAGGGATGCTAGATTTCACCATTATCACAATGGACGACTTCAAGGTTGTGCTAGGCATGGAGTTCTTTAAACAAGCGAAAGCCGTGCCTACACCTCACTTGGAGCAAATGGTGATCATGAAAGAAGAAATGCCATGCATGGTGCCGGCCAAGGTGCACGCTAGATCGGACTTGAAGCATCTATCGGCTATGCAAGTAAAGAAAGGCTTCAAGAGACGGGAAGTCACATACTTGGCAACTTTAAGAGAAGATGGGATGGTGGAAGATGAGAGCACGGAGATACCCAAGGAGATTGCCAATGTATTGGCCGAATTTGATGATGTGATGCCACCGAGTTACCCAAAACGTTGCCACCTAAAAGAGAAATCGATCACCAAATAGAATTGGTGTTGGGTGCCAAACCGCTAGCCATGGCACCTTATCGAATGGCCTCGCCCGAGTTGGAGGAATTAAGGAAGCGATTGAAGGCCATGTTGGAGGCCGGACAAATACAACCCTCCAAGTCACCTTATGGCTCGCCCGTGTTGTTCCAAAAGAAGCACGATGGGTCGTTGAGAATGTGCGTGGACTATCGAGCATTAAACAAGGTCACGGTGAAAAACAAGTATCCAATCCCATTGATAGCGGACTTGTTTGATCGGTTGGGAAAAGCTCGATTCTACACCAAGCTTGATTTGAGATCGGGGTATTATCAAGTTCGAATTGCCATCAAAGATGTGCCAAAGACAGCATGTGTGACGAGGTATGGTTCCTATGAATTCCTTGTTATGCCATTTGGCTTGACTAACACCCCGCTTACCTTCCGCACCTTAATGAATAAGGTATTTCAACCATACTTGGATCGGTTCGTAGTGGTATATCTTGATGATATCGTGGTTTATAGCCCTACATTGGAGGAGCATCTAGACCACCTACGTATTGTATTCAAGGTATTAAGGGAAAATGAATTGTATGTCAAAAGGGAGAAGTGCTCCTTTGCAAAAGAGGAAGTACTCTTCCTAGGACATAAGATTAAGGGGGAAGGTTGATGATGGATGAAGCCAAAGTCAAAGCTATCTCGGAATGGGAAGAGCCAACCAAGGTACTCGAGCTTTGCTCTTTTCTTTGATTAGTCAATTACTATCAACGCTTCATCCGAGACTACTCGAAGAAGGCGGCCCCTCTCACCGACTTGTTGAAGAAAAACAAGAGATGGGAGTGGAGTGACCAATGCCAAAAGGCTTTCGAAGAGTTAAAGCAAGTCGTCATCGAGGAGCCGGTGTTGAGCTTGGCCGACCCAACCAAGCCTTATGAGGTACACACCGATGCTTCGATTTTGCTATAGGTAGTGTGTTGATGCGGGAACAACATCCTATAGCTTACGAGAGCCGAAAGCTAAATGACATCGAACGAGGATATTCGGTGCAAGAGAAGGAGATGACCGTAAGTGGTGTATTGCTTACGCACTTAGAGACACTACTTGCTAGGGTCCCGATTTGTGGTGAAGACGGACAACATAGCCACAAGCTACTTTTAAACTCAAAACAAGTTGACGCCGAAGCAAGCTCGATGGCAAGACTTTCTTGCCAAATTTGATTTTATCTTTGAGTACGAGCCGAGCAAGACCAATGTGGTGGCCGATGCACTTAGTAG